AAGCTGAGTGCAGTGAGCAGATGACTGAATGTAGTGAGCAGAGGATGATACTTCTTCAGCCCCCCTCAAGCGGATAGGGGAAGACACCACTAACAGCTTGTCACGAAGGTAATGAAATCTGGAAGGAGAAAGAGGCTTTGTGAAAATATCAACGATCTGATCCATGGTAGGAATATACTTAAGTGCAATTTGATTGGCAACCACTTTTTCCCGAATAAAATGACAATCGATTTCTATATGTTTGGACCTTGAATGGAAAACAGGGTTGGACGCTAAGGCCATGGCAGATAAACTATCACACCATATGGCAGGAACAGTAGAAGATGAAACACAGAAGTCCTTAAGCAATTGTTAAATCCAAGTGAGCTCAGCTGTGGCATGAGCTAAGGCTCGATACTTAGCTTCAGTGGATGATCTAGAAACAGTTGCTTGCTTTTTAACAGACCATGAAATCAAGTTTGAGCCGAGATATACACAATAGCCAGATGTTGATTTTCGATCAAGACTATCACTGGCCCAGTTAGAGTCGGAGAAGGCAGAAAGAGCAAATGAACTTGGAGTGAAAAAGAGACCATAATGTAGAGTCCCTTTAACATATCTAAGGAGCCTTTTAACAGCTTGAAAATGAGCATTAGTAGGGAGAGACATAAACTGACATGCTTGATTAACAGCATAGGAGAGATCAGGTCTGGTGATAGTCAAATATTGCAGTCCACCAACCAAACTTCGATATAGTGAGGGCTGAGCAAATGGCAGAGAATCAGTTGTAGAACACACAGCTTTAACAACCATAGGAGAGGAACATGGTTTGCAGTCGGCCATTCCAGCTTTGTGCAATAATGCAGCAGCATATTTAGCTTGAGATAAAAAGGAACCATGCTCATCAGACTGAACTGAAATGCCCAGAAAATAAGACAAAGAACCAAGGTCTTTCATGGAAAATGACTGGTGCATGTGTTGAAGAAGTAGATCAATGAAAACAGAATCATCACCAGTTAATAAGATGTCATCAACATACACCAAGAGCAGAGTGAGACTTGTAGAAGTTTTTCTGATAAAAAGAGAGGCATCAGACAAACTGTTAGTGAATCCTTGAGAAAGCAAGAAAGTTGAAAAAGTGGAGTACCAAGCCCTAGGGGCTTGCTTGAGACCATACAAGGCCTTCCTGAGTTTGCAAACATGAGGAGAAGATTGTTCAAACCCTGGAGGCTGCAGCATATAGACCTCTTCTTGAAGAGTACCATGAAGAAATGCATTGGAGATGTCAAGCTGTTTGATAGACCATTGAGATTGAAGAGCAACACTTAAAAAGATACGAATAGTGGGTTGTTTAGCCACGGGACTAAAAGTCTCATGGAAATCAATCCCCTCTTGTTGTAAAAATCCCTTGGCCACCAATCTAGCTTTATAACGAGCAATAGTGCCATTTGAATCTCTTTTAATGCGAAAAACCCATTTGCACCCAATGGCAATTTTATGAGAAGGAAGAGGAACAAGGTCCCAAGTGCCTTGTTGTTGAAGAGCTTGATATTCTTCCTGCATGGCTTGAAACCACACAGGAGAGTGAAGAGCATCATGAACAGATGTAGGTTCAGTTTCAAGAAGAGAAACTTTAGCAGAAAAACAGTGAGGAAGTTTATGTTTAGATCTAGTAATCATGGGATGTATGTTAGACACGGAGGAAGGAAGAGAAGGATGAGGTAAATCAATAGTAATGGAGGAAATAGGAATAAGCTGAGAAAGATGAGGAGTAGGAATAGATTCAGATCTGGAAGAGGGCTCAGAAGGAGTATGAGATGAAACAGATGAAGAAGGAGACTGAGTAGGAATAGCAGAAGAAGAACTGAGTGAAGAAGGCCAGAAAAAGGATGTAAGAGTAGATAAATCTGAAGATGAAGAAGAGGAAACTGAGGACTGTTGCTGAGAGAAAGGAAAACATGATTCATTAAAAATGACATGCCTAGAAATGTAGATTTTTCCAGAAAGAGGCTCAAGACATCTATATCCCTTAATAGTAGGATGGTAACCTAAGAAAACACAAGATATGGATTTTGGTGCCAGCTTGTGAGGAGCATAAGGGTTTAACCAAGGGAAGCACTAGCAACCAAACACTTTGAAAAGAGAAAAATCAGGTATGCTATGAAACAACATTTCAAAAGGTGTCTTGTGATGTAAAATACTAGAAGGCATTCTGTTAATGAGAAATGTGGCTGTGGCAATAGCATCAAACCAAAAATTAATTGGAACAGATGAGTGATGAAGTAATGTGATGGTAGTTTCAATAATGTGTCTGTGTTTGCGTTCAGCTATGCCATTTTGAGCTTGAGTATAGGGACAACTACTTTGATGAATAATGGCATGAGAAGACAGCAAAGTATAAATTCTTTTATTGACAAATTCAGTGCCACAATCAGTCCTAAGTATTTTAAGAGAAGTCTGAAATTGAGTAGCAATATATGCTTTGAATACAAGCAATTTATCATACACCTCACTCTTGTAGTTCAAAGGATACACCCAAGTAAATCTACTGTAATCATCCACAAACAAAACATAGAAACGAAATGGAGCATTATCTACTGTAAAGGGACCCCATACATCACTATGAACTAAGGCAAAAGGACAATTGACAGAAACATTAGACAATGTGAAAGGAAGTCTATGAGATTTAGACACATTACAATCAAGGCAAGACAAGGCCTTATTCAAAGACAATTTATTTGGTAAAACACCAGCCAGATGCTGAAGCTTTAAAAAGGATGGATGACCTAATCTTTGATGCCAAAGCAAATCAGACACAGGTGCTGAAGTGCTTGACTGAAACACAGATGCTGGAGTGCTATCAGACACAGGAGCTGAAGTAGTTGACTAAAGCACAGTTGCTGGAGAGCTAGATTGAAAAACTTGAGGAGAAGAACGTTGTTCAGATGAAGGAATGAACTGGTAAAGACCATTGATATTAACACCTCTATGCAGAATCTTGTTCGTGCATTTGTCCTGAATGACAAAAGTGTTAGCATAAAAAATAACAAGACAGTTGAGGTCTTTGGTGAGTTGATGCACAGATAAAAGATTTGAAGAAATGCCAGGAACATGAAGAAGATTTGAGAGAGGAAAAGAAAACTGTGGAGTTGGCAAGATACCTTTACCTATATGACTGATTTGTAAGGAAGAGCCATTACCAACTTGAACATGATCCTGACCTTGATAAGGCTGAAATTGTTGCAGATTAGTCAAGTCATTGGTTAGATGATTGGTAGCTGCAGAGTCAACATACCAAGGAGGTATGGGAGGATCAGAAGAAGACTGAGGAACTGAAGCAGCATAGGACTGAGGAACTGAAGCAGCATAAGCCTTTGACTGAGACAGAGAAGACTGAGAGGAAGTGTTGTTAGAGAAAGGCTGAAAATTAAGATCCAGTCGATGCCAGCAGTCAAAAGCATTATGATTCCAACCTCCACAAATCTGACATCCAGAGTTAGAAGAAAAAGCTCATCTGGATCTATTATTATTATGATTATTGTTGTATCTATTATTGAATCTGCCACCTCGAAAAGAATTATATCTGCCTCTGAAACCACGATAAGAACCTCTACCTCTTGCAGAGTGAAAACCTCTATTAACAAAATTTGAAGAATCATAACCTGATGAAGATGATCCTCGTGAGGCAGAGTAGGCAACATTAAGATCAGTGCCAGTAGACTGTTTAAGTTTCTGTTCAATATGAATGAATTCAAAACATAACAATGAACACAAATGTTCCATTTTGACAGGCTCAGACCGAGTACGAATAGAAGTTTTGAAAGCATCATAGTCCTCTGGTAGACCATTCAAAGTTAGGAAAACCAGATCTTCATCATCAACTTTTGCAGAAGCTAGAGCAAGCTGTGCTGCAAGATCTTTGATTTGAGATAGATATACCTCCATCGAAGATGATTTCTTACGAAGAGTTTGAAGTTTGGTTTTTAGTTGATGTATATGAGAGCGTGAAACTGAAGTAAATTGCTTCTCTAAGAATTGCCATACCTGATCACTTTGAGTTAGATGAAGAACAGAGGAATAAATGGATGAAGATAGAGTTGCAGTAAGACAAGTAAGCAAATGTGCATCAATCAATTGCCATTGCACATAACTTGGATTTGAAACAGTTTTTCCAGATTCATCAATGAGTTCTGGAGATGGACATGGATGAGATCCATTAACATGATCAAGAAATCCAGATGCTTTAAGCACATTTGTCATCTGAGATTTCCATATGAGGAAATTGTTGGATTCGAGCTTCACTGTAATGAGAGAGTTGAAATTTGAAATTAGTAAACTGAGATTTGGTGGGAGAGAAGAATCAGCCATTGAAGACTTGTGGATCTTGCTCACGAGAGCTTAATGCTCTGATACCATCTGGAGATTCTTTGAACTTATTATATTTTCATTATTATCAAATCTGTTGGTTACATTAGTTTATATACTGTAGCTAAATCATACAAAATATCTAATCTGAAACTAACTCTAAACAAACTAACTAACTCATAACAAACTAGCTAACCACCACAACTAAGTCCACTAGGTGTACAGATCTGTGATGGTGCAGTTCTAACAGACAAAGACAGCTGTCCATGAGAGCTATGAGCAGATGGTGATGAAAGCTGAGTGCAGTGAGCAGAGGACTGAATGTAGTGAGCAGAGGATGATACAATTGCATTTGAAATTTTAATTGTTTCAACATCTTGATTTTCAAAAATTGTCAACTTTGAAATTGGGCCAAAGTGTTGGTGAAAGCCAAATGTTGGATAATTTGTTGACAAGTTAATTGGCTACATATCCAAGTGTAATAGTTTTATAATATTTTTTTCACATTTTATATTTATAGAAATTAATATAATATTTTTCTTCTTCGTTATAATTCTTTTTTTGTTACGTAAGTATTTGCTTTCTCAATGTTAGAATCCTACATACTACCAAAAAAATAAAAAATAAAAACAAAAAAATGGATTGTCAAGAACAAATTAAATAAACAGAAAGCAAATATTTTTCAATGTTTCTATAATAAAGTTACACATAAGACTTTGAGGTATTACATAAGAGGACTTGTTACAAATCACTCCATGAAATTACACACACTATGACAAAGGAAACAAGACAGAAGTTACCACATTTGCAATGTTACCCCTCTCTTCCACACCTTTGTAATATGTTTTATTTAATATTACTTTAATAAGATAGAAGTTGCCATGAAATGCACCTGCACCCCACACTCTTATTATATGACTCATGAAATGAGCAAAAGCCACAGAGAGGGCTAGGAAACGGAAGTTGTTTAGGGGCATTGGAAGTTAGTAGGAATATTTCTCCCACAAACGTTAACAAGCAAGCTCAATGCAACATGTACGTTGGGGACCAATGGGTTTGCCTTAATCACAGTACAAAGGCACAAAGCAACCTCAAGGTCAACAAGTCCAGGAAAGAGACTGCAGCATGGTTTTACCGGAGGTGTACCTATTGTAATATTAAGCAATCCATTGAGCAAATTGGCACATACACCTAGTTTTAGGGCATTTATGGGGCAGGTGCCTGTGGAAGGGCTCGGAGTTGGAGGTGGAGGTGGAGGTGGAGGGCTCGGAGTTGGAGGTGGAGGTGGAGGCGGAGCACACTGTGCACTTGCAAAGGCAAAGAAGAGAAGGTTGAGCAAAAAAAACAAGGCAAGTGATGCACTATTGCTCTTGGAACCCATCTCTCTCAAACCCTTAAGAAAAAAAATAACAAAACTTTCTAGACTGTTGATGGTAGAAATTAGCAATTTCTAAAAGGGTAATTGTGATGGTGGAGAAAATGTGAAGGGAAGAGTGGGTTTTTATAGGATGCAAGGAGGGTTAGGCCTTGAATTGAAGTGGGATAAGGCAAAATACTTTGTGACTTGCAATAAAAACGCTCCATTCCTCTTTCTTTTTCTTTTTCTTTTTTTTTTATTTTATTTATGCGTTCGTGTATTTTAACCAGATCAATAAATAATATATTTTTGTAAAATATATCTATTTATAAATTATGTAATATAGCATGTATGTACAGTTGTAAATTAAAAAAGGGTATTGACTCATAAATCTTAAAATTACAACTTATAAACCAATTAGTTCCATAATTATTTTAAAGATATTGTTTTATGCATCAATTGATATATCAATTAGTATACCAACATATGCTATAATATTATTATTTCAAAACTATAACCTTACCCATTATACAAATTACAAAAACTCAAAACCTCTAAAATTATACCAATTAGTGCATATAACATTATTCTTATTTTAATGAACACACAAGTCCTTATTAATGTAAATTGACATATTTGTCACTGTTTTTATGATATGGTCAATATGAAGATTCCCTCCTTAATTTTAGTTATTTACCATATTCTATATGTCACATTTCAAAAAAGTACCCTGAAGGATTTTTGAAGTCATTTTTGTGGTTTGAATAAATCACATTTCATATTCAATCCATCCAAAATATAACATTTTGAAAATCAAACCACATTCCACATGTCACATTTCAATAAAGTACAGTCATATTGCTGGTTTCGACAAATCGCATTTCACGTTTAATCCACCCAAAATGTGGCATGCTCATTTTGGAAATCAAACTACATTCCACATTCAATCCACTCAAAATGTAACATCCCATTATGGAAATCAATCATTATACCACATTTCAAAAATCACATTCCAAAAAAAAAAAAAAATAATAAAAAAAAAAATAACCCTATATATATATTTTTTTTAATTGCACTTTCATGTATATATATATATATATGAAGAACTTAAATTTAAAATTGTCACAACCGTGCTTTAATTCTTTCCTACACGCCCACCCTTTGTCAAGTTGCTTTTAAAAATGTTAGAATTTCTAAAAGTTTTATTAACATATTAACAGTCCGTGATATAAAAATAACTTATTAATAGCCTGTGGTATAAAAAATATATTATATGTTATTACATTAAAGTATAAGTTTATTTCAGATGTGTGACCGCCATTCATATTCCTTTTATTTATTTATTTATTTATTTTAAGTGACTGCCCCTTTATATCTACGACACATGGGATTAAAGTATAAAATTAAAATTTTTAGACAATAATATAACAAAGGTATTTAATTTATCATAACTAATGTTAATTTTGGGTCTTAGCTCTTGAGAAGAGAACATAGACTAGGAGTCAGATTTTAAACTTTTTAGATATAAATAATTTATTGAGGTATGTTCATATAAGATTTTTCTCTGGTTTTATTGGGTCTCTCACTAGTGAATAGTGGGTTTGGTCCCTCTAAAAAAGGATGAGGAGTCCAAAAATTAATCACGTTTATTTTAAAAAATATATTATTCAAAGTTTTAATATGAATTATATCACAAATTTCTAATAACATGAAAAAATGTCAAGCACATCTCAATATATCTACTTTAGTAAATGGATTGTTTTACAATTATTATCTTTTGCAATTCAACACTGATAAAAAACTATATGATTATTTTATTGGAGAATTTGATCAAAACCCTCTCATAATAAAATTTTAATGCATTAAAGATAAGCACAAAAAGTTTCTTTTAAAGTCTAGCACACAACACTATTATCAAAATATTTTTAGTGATGATATAACTTTTGATCTAGATGTCAGTTTTTAATAAAATTTGTATTTTTAGAATCCTCTCATCAAGATCTATCAAATAAAATCCATGGTGACTCCAAAATTCTTCCAAAAAAAATTACCATCGAAATTAACGTAAGCAGTAAAATTTTATTCTATTTCACACTAATAGCAGAATAAACAACTCAAAAACACACTACCAGAATAAAATTTTATTATCATTCTGGAACAGAGCATTAGAAAAAAAATAGAGTACAAATTAAATAAAAAGTAGAGATAAAATTTTACTTTCATATTTATAAATTAATAAACAAACACCATTACAACAATCAAACAGTGAAAAAAAAAAACTCCAACTCTAACACAAACAAAACTCTAACTCTAACTCGAACAGAGATCGAATGAAGATCTCCAACTCAATGAAGCTTTGTTATATACAACTCAACGAAGCTATACTCGATAAATTTCTCTTGCTTTACAACTTGATAAAAGCAGTGGTTAATCTCGCGTAACTTCGAATCGGAAAACAATAATCAATGAAGGAGAACTACTCTAGGGATGGAACGACAACATTGAGAGATTTGATTCAAATCTCTCACAAATATATGGATAGATAAGATAATCCAAAAAGAAATTTTTAAAAAATGTTACTGTATCCTCCATCAAGTGTGTGCCTCTATGTGAGGGAGTTTATGAAGAAGAAGAATTACACGTTGTCCTTTTCACCAAAAGGAGGCCCAATAGAGGAGTTTTGGCCAAATTTTCCTATTTTATATAGTAAAAATCTATGCCGTAAGTTTTACATTATTTTTTAAATTTTATTAGTATATATAGCAGTATCACACTTCTCCTCTTCTCATCTTTAACCCCCCTTATAATTCCCCAAACTCAATTTGTTTAGATGAAATAGGTAAAAAATGAAAAAAAAAATGAAAAAAAATTAACTTCTATGAGTTTATTTAGCTTGAAAGTGGTAGAAAGTATAAGAAAACTAATTTTTTTGCACAACTCATATTAGCATTGTAACTAATTTTTTATTTCTTGCAAAAAAACACAAAAAAAACAAGAAAAATTGAATGTGTGAATTATATAAAACTAAACTTTTAAATTTTTCTATCTTTTTCTTACAAAATTTGTATCTTAATCAAATGCTTGTAAGAAAAAATATTTTCTTTTTTATTTCTTTTCTTTCACACCATTTTCTTTTAGTTTTATCTTCTACCAAATTTTCTTTTTCATCAAGGAGAGCCTTAAAGATAAAATTGAAAAAACAAAATAAAAAGATGAATCATTATTCATATATATTGGTCCCTCTATATTGAAATCTTGGATCCATTCCCAAATACCAGAGTGCACAAAAAAAAGAAAAAAAGAAAAAAAGAAAGAGAAGTATGACCACATTAATTACGTGATAATTAAGAGTGCCAAGTCAATGCCAAACTCGCACTACTATGGGATAGTTATGTTCTCACTAATGAGGCATGTTTGTTCGCCTTAAAAAGTTCTGCAAGTTTGGTTTTGGAGATGTTCCAAATACAAAAATCGATTACATAATCAAAACACACAATATATATGACAATTTGTTAGTAAAATCTATTTATGAAAAAATTTATGTATCTATGTACATTTTGTGTCTAATTCTATAACTGATTTATATATTTGTAGATTTGTTTAATAGAGATAGGAATGGTTAGAAAACAATGGATTGACAATTCATTCATCTTTTATGAGTATTTTCAAGGAACTCTTTAAATGAGGCTGGTTATTATTATAACTAATATTATCATGTTTTAGTCACTCAAATAGGTTACTATTACAATAGTTATTTTAACAAAAAATTTCAAGGTTAGCTACATTTGAAGAGCCTTGAGAGATTTTTTAAACAGTTTGTGTGTATGACTAGGTAAAATAAGGAGTAGCATTGGAATATATAGGTAAAAAAATAATAATTAAACAAAATAAAAAAAATACATTTTTTATATTTTAATGAAGTGTATGATTGGTGTTGCTCTTATGCCACAACTTTATAACCACCGTGTAATTATTAAGTAATACTGAAGCATTATAGTATTATTTTACGGATGGGTCAAACTTACGTTTGTTTGGTAGTGTTACAATTTTTCATTGATCGGCAATATCACGTAGACATTGCAACATATAATACTCTAAAAATATCTGTCAAAAAATTTTAAAAAAATTCATAATGACCTTGCATTATAAATTACAGATGTACGATCGGCTAACGTATCTATTTTTCTTCATATATTTTGTTTTGATTTTTGGATTTCATAATATTAAAAAAAAATGAAATGAAACGAAAAAATGAAGTGAGAGATCAACGATAGTAAAGCATATATATTGGTTTTTCTTCACAACTATTTAAGTTTTTCGGGTTTGGCAAATAAAATTTGTTGCTTTTTGTTTATAGTAAATCTTCTTTTTTTCATTTTGTCAATTTTTTTTTTTTTTGTTTTTGTAAGTCTATTAAACTCATCAAAGACCTTTTTCTTTTTTTTTTTTTTTCTAATGGACCATATTTAAAAAATATCAAAAAGGAACAAAGGGAAAAAAAAAGTCAATTTTTGTCTTTTTAAATCTATTGGTTTTTTTGACCATATCTAAAAATTAAGATAAATTGGGCATTTTTATTCGAACTCAAAAATTAGACTTAATTTTCAAACTTAATAATCTATTTAGAATATTTAAGACAACACTCTCTCTTATATCTTTTCTAATTATTTATCAATCATCTCACTTACAAATTGAGTCTAAAAAACAGGTGTAGAAAATGGCTTTTTATATCATTTTTCTAAATGATACAAATTGTCAGCCCAAAAAATAAATAAATAAAAATTTCTTTAATAGTTTATGTTAGTTAAGCTGCCATCCCATGTTTAGAAATTATATTCTATTTCTTATTGAAATTTGTCTGTTAAGGTTGGGCAAACATTAATCTGAGGGAGAATTCCACAATATACACTCATTATCATTTGAATTTTTAATTACGCTATTTTCTTTTTTAATTATAATATTTTTCTTTAATTATGACATTATTTTGAAATATTTACTTATACCTCACATAGTATTTTATTATGATTTTTTTTAATTATAATTCCAAAAATATAAAATTATATATATTTTTCTTTAATTATAAAATACATATAATGCCTACCATTTAAAAAGTATACACCATAATCTTTCCCA